GTGTAAGCAAATTCCATTCCTATTATTGTTTTTTAAAAAGAGACAGTTAAGTAGGAAAAGGAATGTATAGCTTTTTGCATGCAGAAACTACTCTTTTTAAAGTTGATGTCTTAGTGAAGGATCTTGGAAAGAGATAATAGAAAAGTATATCTTAAAAAAAATGAAAAATATATCTTTTTAGGAGGAACTCAAATAAAAGGAATAATGAGTAGCTTTAAGAAAGAGAACTTTACTGTTTTGCAAGAGAAAATTCCAAGTTCCCTTAGAATGGTAGCCGTATATAAACTGGAAATAACATTGATAGTTTTCGTAGTTCCTGAATTACGCTATAAACATGGACTACTTGCTAGGGCCCTCGTTACTAAAGATAGAAGAAATGGGGTCTAGAAAGTGGGGGTGGTTTGACTTAGTTGACAGTATTGGGAAAGCATTAATTCTGAGGAAATCGATGATGGTCTGCAAGGAAGGAGGAGGAGTCCCTTGGAGTCTTGTAGTGAAGGGAAGGAGAGAAGCAACTGCACACAGGGGTCCAAAGGAAATGAGAGGGAGAAAAAAGGACAGATTCTGTTCTCATCAGTACCACGAAAAGTATCGTTTATTAAAAAGTCTACCCTTTATTGTAGCCACAGAGGAGGGTGTGTTGAATGGAGAGAACCCTAATAAGCCAACTTAATCTCCTCTCTTCTCCCATCATGAGATAGCTTACTATATTGCTGCATCTAAAAAGAAAAGCAGATAATTTTCAGTAAAAAGAAGCCAACATCCATACACAGTTACTGTAAGAAAGCAGAATACTAAAACCACATCTTCTAAACATGCTCACCACACAGAGAATGAAGGGAACAATAAAAAGAAGGAAAAGAAAGGCACAAAAAAGGAAAACTAAGGTAAAAGTCAAAGTGTTAGTTGCTCAGTTGTGTCCAACTTTTTGCAATCCTATGGACTGTAGCTCTCCAGGTTCCTCTGTCCATGGAATTTTCCAGACAAGAATACTGGAGTGGGTAGCCATTCCCTTCTTCAGGGGATCTTTCCAACCCAAGGATCAAACTGAGGTCTCCTGCATTGCAGGTAGATTCTTACCATCTGAGCCACCAGGGAAACCAAGACACAATACTCAAATATAAATAACTTACATTACACAAGCAATTGTATTATGAAAGAACACCATGAATCAGACACTTCAAAACTCACAATTGAAATGGACAATGAATAGGAAGATGTATGAAATAGGAGCTGACTGAACTCTGGAAAGGAAACCAACAAAAAAAAGACAAAAATCATTTCAGAAATGAAAAGTAAATTACAAGGTACCCAAGGTAAGATACATATTGCCAAAAGTTCAGTAAGAGACTAGAAATGAAAAAAATGCATGAAAGTGAAATTGAAATAACATAGATAAAAGGATCAGAGATAAAGAGAGAAGATCCAATATATTTAGATCAAGAAATTGAACTAGAAAAATAAATGGAAAATGAACAGAAATAATATTTAAAATTATAATAAAACAAACTTTTCTAAAATAAAAGGAAACTTGGATTTCCATATGGAAAGGGCCCCCATGTGCCTCGGAGAATTGACTGGTCTAAAACAATTGACTCTTACTATATCTTATATATTAGTATTAGACCTTAAAAGAAAAAGACCACTTGAGCCTTCAAGCCAAAAAAAAAATAGTTTTATTTTTAAAATAAATTAAAAATGAGAGTAATTAAAATAGAAAGAAAATCAGTTTGACATCACACCTTTAGCAACATACGTGGCAAGAAAATGATGGGCATTTTCAAGGAATTCAAAATGGGTAATTTGTTGTGGGACATTGAGTAAGTAAAAAGCTCAAAATCCATAGTGATACCCAAGATAACTTGGGAATTGCACTTTGAGTGACTTTTTAAAACATGCTGCAGTTATTAAGAAAATTTTCAAGAGTGTTCCCTGATGGTTAGGACTCAGTGCTCTCACTGCCGTGGTCAGAGGCGTGGTATGATCCCTGGTGGGGGAACTAAGGTCCTGAAAGCTGTGCAGCCAGACAAAAGAAAGAAAAAGAAAACTTTCAAACCTCTCATTGGTTGATGCATGCTGACGTATTTAGATGTGATCTGTTCTGATATTTGCAACTTTAAAATGGTTTAGAAAAAATAAAATAAGGAAAAAGAAGTGGAAATTTTTTGCAATAGCTACTTGTCATTTTTGAAAATGTTAAAATGAATTGCTAAAATTAGATTTCTAATATTTATGTCTTTTATATTGATTGAGAGACATTTTATGAGTAAAATGAATTCCATTTTATATGTCATTACTTTGTATTTTTAGAAGAATTTTTCATATTTCTGTTTACTCTTAGAATTACCAGTGATCTCATCTACACTAATTTTTTTCCCCAGCAGATATTTATTGAAACTTCTAGTGCCTTAATCAAGGCAATAGCACCAAACTCTACAGAGTAGTCATTGTATTCTTTCCTACCACAGATATACAGTAAAAAAAAAAAAAAAAAACCCACAAATAATCCAGTTTCACTTAGAAATATCCTTAATGAGGAAGGAAAATTTTAAATGAATTATTTATCTTTTTATTATAGAGTTATAATGTAGTTTTGATACAAATATTTTTTCAGATGTATCAGTTCAGTTCAGTTGCTCAGTTGTGTCTGACTCTTTGCGACCCCACGGACCACAGCACCCCAGGGCCTTCCTGTCCATAACCAACTCCGGAGTTTACCCAAACTCACGTCCATTGAGTCGGTGATGCCATCCAGCCATCTCATCCTCTATCATCCCCTTCTTCTCCTGCCTTCAATCTTTCCCAGCATCAGGGTCTTTTCAAATGAGTCAACTCTTCACATCAGGTGGTCAAAGTATTGCAGTTTCAGCTTCAGCATCAGTCCTTCCAATGAACACCCAGGACTGATCTCCTTTAGGATGGACTGGTTGGATCTCCTTGCAGTCATTTAGTTCTTCTTCACTCTCTGCCATAAGGGTGGTGTCATCTGCATATCTGAGGTTATTGATATTTCTCCCGGCAATCTTGATTCCAGTTTGGGCTTCTTCCAGCCCAGCATTTCTCATGATGTACTCTGCATATAAGTCAAATAAGCAGGGTGACAATATACAGCCTTGATGTACTCCTTTTTCTATTCGAAACCAGTCTGTTGTTCCCTGTCCAGTTCTAACTGTTGCTTCCTGACCTGCATACAGGTTTCTCAAGAGGCAGGTCAGGTGGTCTGCTATTCCCAGATGTATGATTTGCCAAAATTTTCCTCCATTCTTTGGGTTTTTTACTTTCTTGGTAGTGTATTTTGAAGCACAAAAATTTTAAATTGGTATTATTTAATCTATTTTCCTTTTGTTGCTTGGTATATCTTTTGTATACCTAAAAATATAGGTAGAACTTTAAATGGTGGTACCTTTTGAAATGTTTAAAAGTAATGTGGGTTATTTTTGGTCAATGAATATTTATTTTATTTTTAGTTGCATACTGTATTAATTTGTGAGGGCTACCATAACAAAGTACCACAGACTGAGTGACTTTAGCAACAGAAATTTATTTCCTCACAATTCTGGAAGCTGGAAGTCCAAGATCAAGGTGTTGACAGGATTGGTTTCTTATAAAGCCTCTCTTGTTGATTTATAGATGGTTAAATCGTCCCTGGTATCTTCACGAGATCTTTGTCTTTATGTGTGTCCACCTCCAGAACTTTTTTCATCTTTTAATACTGGAATTCTACCCATTAAATAGTAATTCCCCCCTCTCCCCTCATTTGCTCCTGGAAACCACCCTTCTATTTTGTGTCTCTGTAAAGCAATATTTAAGACAGTCTTTTTCATCAATAGTGAGAGTCTACAAAGTTCCTCCAATTAATTATTTTTATGCTAATCTGCAAAGTATATATAGACTTTTATCTATCTAAGAGGTCTTTTAAACTCTTATGTACAAAATTTTGTCCTTATTTGTATATTTGCCTTTTTATTGGTAGAGATTCCAGATTTCTCGTCATCAGATTTCTTAACTAGAGATTTATACTAGTCTTGTTTATTTTTCAAGGTAATTCAAGGTTTCAGTTTTTAGATTTAAGTTGATAAGGCGATGTGTACTTTACAGGAATAAAAGATAATTGAAAGTTTAAATGTATTTCGGTCTTACTGTTTTGAAATCTAATGTTTATTTGCTATTTTGTAAATGTTGATACTTTTTTAAGAACCTTTTTTGTAGTTTTCTTCATTTGGGTAGATTTTATTCTTACTCTGCACTTTACTCTTTTATACCATCAGGTATGTGTTGTGTCAATTCTGCATCTCATTGAAATATAAGTTAAAATATTTTCCATATTGAATAACCTCTCAGAGAGTTATTGTTGTCTTTATTTTATTCATATATTCATTCAGCAAACATTTGTTGAGTCTTCATTATATGGTAAACAGTAGCTGTACAAAGAAGAATAAACATGATTTTTGTCTTCAAGGTGGTTAAAAAAATGCACCTAAGTAGATCTAAATAAATTACTATATTTGAAAGAAGAGTAAACAAAAAGGGAGTTTTGGTTGGTCCAAATAGGAAACAGAATGGAGAAAATTAGAGTCCTGGCAATACAAGGCCCACTGGAAGGGGACCAGTAGATGGGCATGGCTGAAACTATTGAGGAAGAGTTGGTGAGGATGAGGCTTGAATAGTTGGAGCCAAATTTTGAAGACACTTTAAAAGCATATGCAGTGAACATGGAGTTCTTAAACATTTTTCAGTCTCAGAGTGAAAAACAGGATGAGATTATTATGTGATGTTAACTAGTCTTATTAAATAGTAATTTTATGCAATCTGAATGTATATATGGTTGTATCATTTAAAAATTATCCTTCGATTATTTTTCATAGATTATTGACAAATACTGCTTATTTTACAATCTCAGATATATATTTGTAATATAGTTCATATTTTGTATGTTTAAGTATCTGCCATATTTAAAAAAATATACTTTAGCTTTGTGTTTTTTAATTTCTTTTTTCCAGCTATAAGAAAGACCAGATGGTTGAGGATCTAATGGAACCTCTGAAATACGCTGAACAACTTCCGGTAGCTCAGATAATACACCAGGTTTGCTTTCCATTTTATTCTTTTGAAAGAAACAAGATTTTTAATCTCTGAAAAGTAATTGCTTTTGTTAGGTTTTTCAGAACCAATGTGCTATAGCTGAAAGGCATTCCAGGCTGTCTAGCCCTATTTAGACTCCACCTCTTACAGTTGGAAATCTCTTTCAAAGCGCAATATTAAAAGGCTACTTGCTGTTTAACAGTAGAATTTTTATATAAAATACAGGGTAGAATCAGAATTGTTTTTTGTGCATTACTTAACAACAAGACTTAATTTCAGAGAACTTTCATTTGAACTATTGTATATGGTACTTATTAATGACAAAGAAATTACTGAAAAAATAACATTTGGTGTAATTTTTTTGAGTAGCTAAAATGAGAAAGAAATCTCTCCTTACTTCTTCCACCCCACCCCATTATCAACTCTTATAAAGTGTAATTCTAAATGTCATGTGGGTAATTTTTTCATTTCCAATTATAATGACTCTATCATCCCTTCTCCATTACTGTAATCTTAGAGAAGGCAGTGTGGTAAGTTTTTAAACTTGGATTTTGTACTGTAATTCTGACAGCATACAAAGTTCGCCCTGCTGGGCCAGAATCTAAGAATTTTAAAAGTGGTTTGTTGATGAGCGTTATGGCCGATAGACCTACCAGATTTATCAGAGGCTATAGATTATAGGAAATAATAAAAGTCCTTAAATGTCAGAATTTGTCAGAATTTTTACGAATGTTAATTACTGTTATGAGTCTTTCCATATGTCTTTGCCAATCAAACGAATTTTTATTTAGCAGATACAGATTGATTATAAGTACCAGGTTGAGCTTATTAAAAGAAAACAGGCTTTTTAAAATGTTGGCTACATGGAGAAGGAGATGGCAACCTACTCCAGTACTCTTGCCTAGAAAATTCCATGGATGGAGGAGCCTGGTGGGCTACAGTCCATGGATCACAAAGAGTCAGACATGACTGAGCGACTTTTCACTTTGACTCTTACTTCCTGAGTACAATGGTGGTTCTGATTATTGCACTTAAAACTGGGATGTTGGACTATATTTTCAGTATTCTGTTAAACAGTAAAGTACTGTGTAGATAAAATGATATTAAAAAATATTGTTACCAAGTATCATCATGTAATATGGCTGAAAATCCTAAAAAAATAAATAAATAAATAAAATGTTGGCTACATAGATCTTTTCATGGAGGTTAAAATTGCATATTAAAATTCTATGAGAAATTACAAAAAGTGGTCTAAAATTTGCCCATAGTCTATCTGTGGTTGGTAATCAGGTCCAGCTATGTGTCAGGAATTCCCTGGTGTTGTCAGTGCTTAAATGACCTAACAGCCTGCAAATGTCACATTTAAAATTCTGTCTTCATGCCTGACTCTCGGCATAAATGAATTAAACAGCAGAGCAGGCAGCAAGTCAATATGTTCTTAACAGTAAGAGTGAGCAATGAAACAGTTTGTGGTTTGTTCAGAATAGGTAAATAGAATCTGCCCACAACACTTCACCTAGAATAAAATCTAAAACAGGAAACAAGAGTTAACCTTTAAGATGGTTGACCAGATGAAATGTCAGTCATACTTTTATAGCTTGAATGAACCAATAAACTGCTGTTATATACACTGTGTGAATTCAAAGATGAAAAACTTTGACCCTGGTCAAAATTTTTATGATGATATTCTTGGCATTATCAGAAGCTATATTAATTTTAACACTGAATTATAAACATTATAATGAAATTTTTATAGTACCTGAATTTATAAAATTTTTATTTTAAGATTCATGATAGGGATTTCTCCTTCTTTATAATGAATAAAATTAATTTTGTTTCCAAGGGGTAATCAGAAAAGATCATTTTTCCTCTTATTTCCCTTTATTGACAATACTACAAGTTTGAAACTGTTACAGTTGTCTGTCAAGTGATCTTTAAGAAACACGTGAGTTATGTTGCTAGGAGTTCACTTACAAGTGAATTATTTGAAAGCCATTTTCCCCCCTAAGAGAATAGTAATGTATGTAATAATTAGGTGCAGCCAAACCCATAAAATCTCAAAATATGTAATATATCTGTATTATAGTGTTACTGAAGTATATATTTAACCTCCACCTATAATAGTGTGTTTTTGTACTGTAAGAACTGTTTTTCTTCTCATCTTGAGTCATGCTTTACCTATGTCTGTTCTGGAGTATGTGTCATTCTTATTGAAATAATGTTATTTATTCACATATCGTATCCTCTGTGTGCTCAGTCACTTCAGTTGTGTCTGACTCTTTGCAACCCCATGGACTGTAGCCCACAGGCTCGTCTGTCCATGGGATTCTTCAGGCAAGATTACTGGAGTAGGATGCAATTTCCTCCTGCAGGGGATCTTCCTGAGCCAGGGACCAAAATCGTGTCTCTCGAGTCTCTCATGTCTCCTGCCTTGGTAGGTGGGGTTTTTTTTTACCACTAGTGCCACCATATCTTCTATTTGATTGTCTTTCTGGATATCTTTGATTTCTTGATATTTTTTTCAGCATCTTATCTTGTGCCATTTTTGCATATGTCTGAATGGCTGGAGATATATGCCTGTGTGTGTGTGCAATGGTATAGTGAGAGCCAGAGCATCTCTTTTCCCTACCACCGAGGCATCAGAAGCCAGGGCACAGTTCAGAAAACGAGAGAGGAGGAGCCAGGCACAGCAATTCAAGGAATAGCAGAGAGTGAGAGAGAGGAATCTGTTTCAGTCATTTGAGTAATTAATTTCTTGTTTATATTACTTAAACTGCATGTTACAATGAGGAGATAGACAGGATTTCAGTATGGCCATTTTGTACTGCCAAATTATTTACCTTTCTTTAGGTGTCCTAGCAAACATGATTGCACGTCTAGGAAATCCAAGACATTCAAGTTATAAGCAGTAGAAGTAAGAAGAGAATCTGGTGAGATAGTCAGATATAAGATGAATAAAACCGGTGCTGCTTCATATTTGCAATAACCACACAAAATGGAAATGGGAAAAATGTTCTTTCACAATGAAAGGAACTATAAAATACCTAGGAAGTACATTTGGCAAGTAAACTATAGAACTTACAGTGTAAGAATCATGGAAGCATACCACGTTTCATAAGCAGAAAGTTATACCAAATATTTGATGGGGTAGGGAACTTAATATCATTAAGTATAATTTTCCCAAATTTGGAGTTCTAATTAAAATAGAAGCAAGTTGGTTTTTTTTTTTAATGTTAGAAAAAAAAGATGACCACATAGTTCATGTGGAAGAACAAATATCTAATAATAGACAAAGAAAGTACATAAAAGAAAACACAGCCTCTTGAATCATATAAATATGTGTGGACAAAGGAACAGATAAATGGATTAATGGAATACAGTAAAATGGTGGATTTCAAACATTATTATAATTCACAATAAGAAATACATTTTACATACATTGATGTATATATATGTTAAAAATTAGAAGTAAAAGTTTTATGAAACATTTACCCTCATTACATGTGATGCACATTATTTTCTATTTCTGTTTTTTTTTCAGTGTCAAATAAAGCATAACTAAATTAATTTCAAAATCAAATAGTCCTGACCTGAGGCTTGAAAAAACATGAATAGAGAATTCAAAGAAAAAAATTTATGAGATTTGATCATTAAATATGTGATTAAGATTATATGTAGTTCAATAGAAAAACAGCTTAATTTGAATTTCATGCTATGTAATATAAAATAAATTTTATATGAAGACTTAAAGTAAAATAAGATTTTAGAAGAAAGTTTCAGCAATTGCATTTTTAATCTAAAGTAGGAAAGAACTTCTTAATAAACATACACATGCAGGAGATATGTTTGGCTCCATAAAAATTTAATATTTTACATATCAAAAGATACCACAACATTAAAATACTAATGTTAGAATCAAAATAAGATCTTTGTAAAGAAGACAATAGTGAATTGGTTAATATCAAAAATATATGCAGAATTCTTGAACGTTTATTAAAGACAAAACAACTCAGTAGGAAAAAAAAGACAAATGAGATGAAAAGCAGGTCAGAGAAGAACAAATGGAAATGGCTAGTGAGTGAAAAGAAAGCCTAAAACTCATTAAGGAAGTACACATTACAAATTAAGTAAAATTATTGTATGCCTATCAAACTGGCAGAAATTAAAATCACATATTGAAAAACAGTGTGGCAGTTTCTCAAAAGGGTAAATGTAGATTTACCATTCAGTTCAATTCAGTTGCTTAGTTGTGTCTGAATCTTTGCAACCCCATGAACTGCAGCATGCCAGGCCTCCTTGTTCATCACCAACTGCCAGAGCCTACCCAAACCCATGTCCATCGAGTCGGTGATGCCATCCAACCACCTCATCCTCTGGCGTCCCCTTCTCCTCCTGCCCTCAATCTCTCCCAGCATCAGGGTCTTTTCAAATGAGTCAGCTCTTCACATCAGGTGGCCAAAGTATTGCAGTTTCAGCTTCAACATCAGTCCTTCCAATGAACGCTCAGGACTGATCTCCTTTAGGATGGACTGGTTGGATCTCCTTGCAGTCCAAGGGACTCTTAAGAGTCTTCTGCAACACCCCAGTTCAAAAGGATCAGTTTTTGGTGCTCATCTTTCTTTATAGTCCAACTCTCACATCCATACATGACCACTGGAAAAACCATAGCCTTGACTAGATGGACCTTTGTTGACAAAGTAATGTCTCTGCTTTTTAATATGCTGTCTAGGTTGGTCATAACTTTCCTTCCAAGGAGCCAGTGTCTTTTAATTTCATGGCTGCAATCACCATCTGCAGTGATTTTGGAGCTCAAAAAAATAAAGTCTTTCACTGTTTCCGTTGTTTCCCCATCTATTTGCCATGAAGTAATGGGACCGGATGCCACGATCTTAGTTTTCTGAATGTTGAGCTTTAAGCCAACTTTTTCACTCTCCTCTTTCA